TTTCACTCCCATGATTGTACGTACAAAACAAAATGAAAAAAGGATTAGAATTTAAACAGTTAAACAGTGTTATATGAATTTAAGTGAAATATGACATTTGCAAAAGTAAATTCTGAAGAAGAAAAAGAACAAAGTGATTTCCACTAGAAGAAACAAAATCATCGATTAATCGAAGCATAATTCAAATGAATAAGACATAGAAATTAGGATGAAGATGATGATATTAACTCAATAGACTTTAGTTGTGTTCGATACAGTTTTACAAGTTCTTGTTTAGTGATAAATGTATAACGAAATGACTGTGATTAAGAAAAAAATTAAATAAATCTTAGTAAAAGGTTAAGTAATAACTACATTATAAAAATGTAGTAATGTATATTATTAAAAAAGGACCAAGTAGATTCCTATAAAAACTTGAGTCAAATAAGAACAATGATGAGAGCAAAACAACATTAATTCATTTTATTTTGTTAGATTCCCATTAACTCCTGACAACTCGTTAGTCGAATTTGAACAAAGTTTAGCAAACTTATAGAAGTCAAGTTGGTTCAAAGTTAGTACGAGAATATATCAGCATAATGTATCAAAAAATCGAATTTGCAAAGATTGAGTAGAATGTTGTAAGTATGTATATATAATCCAATAGGAGGTTCTATAACATTGATCACAGTAATGGAAAAAAAAATATGAGGCGTACAGAAACCTTATTTCCCGTATTCGTATTGAGACAGTTGATTCTCAGATGTACGATGAATATCAAATTCCAATACAACAATGAAAACCATAGCTAGATGGTTTAGCCATAGGGTTACCGTTCCTAATATCGTTCTTTAAATTACAATCCCTAAATATACCATCGACAAAATTATAAATTGAAGGTTAAGAAAGACGGTGCACAAGACATTTACTGCAGCCAAACTGAGCGCAGTTTTCTACAAACTCCTGATACTAAGATCCTTCAATAAAAACAGACTGTCTGAATTCGCCACATCCATGTGCATCTACTAACTCAACTGTTTCTGTGGGGCCAATTATATAGGGTGTACAATTCAACAAGTCCGTCATCGCACAGCAAAACATCATCCATCTTGGTTGAGCAAACGAAAAATAAGAGTGATTAAGAGTTCTATTCTCACTCATTTGGTGGATACAAGACATCAAGTTGATTTGAACTAAGCTTTTAAGGTTATCTACAGTATTCCATCAAATTTATCATATGGTTTATGAGTTTGTCTGTCGTATATTGCTTAAACTATCGAAATTCATGTCCACAAAACCTAATCTTTGCATACAAAAGGTGTTTGTACAACCACTCTTGCTACCTAGGTATTGGAGTGAGTTTTTAACCGAACTTTGATTAGACCCTTTCCTTCAAAAATATCCGACTACTTTTCTAATTTTTTTGAAATGAGGTTATGAACCGACGAATGTTGGAACACCATTTAAAACCTGGAAGTGCTAGACGGCCATTTCGTCCTAGTATGAATTTCTTCGGCAGTACACATCCACGAAACGGCCGTCTAGTGCTTCCAGGTTTTCAGTGGTGATATAACATTCATGATCTCAATCAAACACTTAATAATCTCTACACTCTCATACTGATAATTTCCTAATTATTACGTAACACAACTACTCAATGAGTAAATCAAATATATGTATATTAGTGTATCGCCATGATGAAAAAATTAATGAAGAGAAATTTCTTCACTTTTCAAAATGAGGATTTCCACTATAATCAAAACTAAGTGATAACCGAATGACATAATGGAACACAAGTGACACACAATTGAAAATGACATTAAATCAGCTTTGTCATCCAAAAATTAGATTAAGAATGAAAGAAAACTACTTCAAATCATAATGTTTTTCCTGTCGATTCGTAAAAACTCAGCGCACAGAGGCTATTGCTCTTAATAAAATGATCGATGATTTAGATATTATATATTGAAAAAAAAACTATCAGTCTCAAATGTAACGTATGCCAGAATTCCCACAAAATTTTGTCAAAGTTTATTTCAAACAAACACTTATATGAAGCTCCTTTGAAACACTCTACAAAGTTCATTTAGAACCTAGGTAGTGCGTGTCAAAATTTAGCTTGAGGAGAAATTTCAAAACATACAATTTAAATGTCAAAGGTGATTTAAAATCATTGTCAATCATCCTTAGTTTGTGTTCCACTATGTCATACGGTTATCGCTTAGTTTCGATCTTATGATCTTTTTCTGTTACTCTTATCAATATTATAGAACCTTCTATTGGGTTATATGTAAGATCTGTTTCGCAAGTTTTGTAAAAAAAAATTCTCCACTTACACACTGATGTAACATTCTTCTTGATTCTTTCAGATGTACATTTCGTCAACCTTTCGATTCCATTTGAGATGGTACCATTTGTATTTTATTGTAGTTTTTTTCCTTACGTCTTCACTGAATTTCTATGTTTTTCTTGAACTACATCTATGTTATTTTAGTTTATGCTTGGTCATGGCCATTGTCATATTGATTCGCTCACATTTCTGATTGTATTGCTTTAATTGACTGAAATTGTTCGTTTTGGATTATGAATTGAAGCACTCTTGCAGCAATGAAAACATTCCGTGTTATAAGGAAATTAAGTATTATCTTTGAAACAATTTATACGTGATCTATCCAGGAAGGAGAGCATAACATTCCAGCGTTGATAGGACCATTTGTTTGTTATACTAAGTTATTATCGTTTGTCAGTTTATCTATTTCATGTGATTTAGATTTGAATACTGATTAAACAGTTATTGGTTGAATAACTACGAGGTAATATTTGTTTAGGTAATAACGTACGTCTAAATTTATAATAAAATTTAGAAAAGTTATTCACTCGATTACTTTGTCTTAGTTTCGACTGGGCGATAGCGTACATCTAAACTAACCCTAATAGTTATACCCTATTCGGGACTGATTTAGTTTGGAGGTTACATTATATATGCATACTTACAACATTCTACTCAATCTTTGCAAATTCAATTTTTTTGATACATTATGCTGATATATCCTCTACTAACTTTGAACCAACTTGACTTCTATAAGTATGCTAAACTTTGTTCAAATTCGACTTACGGGTTGTCAGGAGTTAATGAGAACCTAACAAAATGAAATGAAATAATGCTGTTCTGCTCTAATAGTTGTTCTATCTCGATTCAAGAACAAAATTCATGGACGGATTTATGTGAGATAAAACTTAAACGAGATAGTTCAGACAGAATTTACTAACTTCGCATTCTGCAAAATAAATCTTACTCATAGTTATGTTTCCAGTTGGGTAGTACGGTCATAGTTCGCATCATTATCTTTTCGCAAATTCAGTTCAAAATTTGGAAACGTTGTATTTATTCAACTTATATATACTATGTCAGTTTAAGGTAATGATTCTAATTGTGAATACTTACTCCCAGTAGATTTATTAGTTTTCAAAAGGTATGTTTTACGTTAAGCTACTTTTGATTGATTTATCTATAGCCACGAATCTGCTTCATTTTCTTTATTTACTGATTTGTATTCAGAAAAGTGACTGAACTACTGAGGTCAACGTAAGAGGAGAATCAGTGAAGCGAAATTGCAAGTTGTAACATATATTAAATAATCAATTCATCAAATACGAAATGGAATAAAATACCTCGTAGGACTTTATTTGAATCGACTTCATAAACGAGGAAAGATACATTGGGGCTTGATTATAACGTCACAAATTAATCAGTAAACACTGATTTACGCTTAAAAAGCCAATGAATAAAAGTCCCACATGCATGCTCGTACATCCATGCTAATTATCCCGTACATTAGACAACAAAATAATCTCTTTTTCCGTTTTAAATAAGTAATATTTCAACACGTTGGTTGTAACTGAGCTAAATAGAAACTCAACCAATTAATAGCTTGGTTTATATAAGTAAACCATGTTGGGCTTTACTGACATAAATTAACATAATTAGTAAGGCGTCTTGGTATTTTATTGAAATAAACTCGACTACATTCTCACCAAATACTGGTAATCTAATGATGTTAACAGAGATATAAAGAAGGCATGAAAAACAATGGAAGTTATTTTTGTGGACATTATTTCACTTAATTTAAAGTTTGCAAAATACTAACATTTAATTTTGTCCCTAGATTATTCCATAAACCATAAGCTTTGCTTGATGCATAATTCACCATCATACCATTTCATATTCCAGGGCTATTGTAATTTAAACGTAAACTACGGTACTTTATATTCCTACTCTAATGCCCAGTTTGCACATAAATGTACTTTAATAATTGTTTGTTTGTTGTAATCGTGTTATTTATCTATATATTTATGCATTTTTATACTCATCTGAACCGAGATTCAGGAATAAATAGAGAAGCGCTTCAGTTGAATCGTCTTCTCTCTCACTCTGTCGCTTGTCAATCAATCAGGCGATCGAATAGTTTTCGTCTCTGCCTAAAGCCATTGGTTTTAATTTGAACTCACGCATTATTAGCCTCATAGGTGAACCAGTTAGTTTATCGTGTCTAGGCTTTGACTTAGATCGAGACAAGTTCTCTTCAGTATATTATTAGTTAGATAAACCGAGGATGTAACAACTAACCATCACTTCCCAGTTTAATTAGTAATCCTAATTACAAACCACATACTTTAGTCTGATTATTATAAATTAACGTTTATTTCTGATGTGCTTATTTTGTAATACCACCCATCCTACTGCTACTTCAGGCAGTCTAGTCAAGATTATCAACTATACTCTCATTTCAAAAATATAGTTTTACATTTCGTTTCCTTTTGATAGGTAGTGATAAGCCTAGATATTTTATCACTATGGTAATTAGATAAATTTGTATATCCTAAGCGAATTTTAGATTCAAGAATTTTATTCCTAGGTACGTTGATCTTCCGAAAATTGGAGATATGATGAAATCACATTATATCGCTGATAAGGCTAAGGATAATGTTTCGCATGGATGAATAAAATTATGTCAACTTACATGATTAATAAGCACATGTTCACCGACTATATTTTTAGGTAGATTACGTAAAGATTCCATTAATTTATCCATTGAATTCAATCTTCTTCTTGAATTCGAATCTCCCAGTAAAAGTTGAAATATAGAAAGTGCAATACGAAATAAAACCTTCACACCTAGAATGAGAGTAAACAAAAAACTGTGTTCAACTCCATACCCTTTGATAATACAAGATTTGAATTTTTAATGCTACTTAACTGTTGATCATTATTTGTCCTGTTACAGTTTACATTTTAAAATATCCGATATTTATCGATAACCGCTTTATCCAAAAGAATCATGGCGAACGGTTATTTGGAATAGTTGGACAATCTAGATGGCAGATATTGTCATGCTTGTATTAACTGTCTGTCGTCGTTTTCACGTAAATGTTATACTCTAAACCAAGAGCAGTTATGTAACACAATTTGTTATTGCTCATAAGTTAGAAAGATGTAAACGTATTTTTTCTTGCCAATTTTATGATATTAAAATGTGCAACTACATATATGGATCAAATTCATATTTGTGATTGGTATGGATAAAACCCTAAGCATACTAAATTTTTAGTTGAAACAAACTAGGAAAGAATAACATATAAAGTACAACCATTATATTACACTTGTTTGTCAAGCTTGCAATATCGGATCTCAAAAGCACTGTTTTGAAAAGCTATTCTGATAAAAGTAAGTATCCGAGACCACTTTTCAGAACATTACGTTGAAACCACATCCACCCAAATTATTGTTCTTTGAAACGTCTTACACTGAATTATATCAATGAAATTAAGCCAGGAATACCATAAATGCAACGAAATATTTCATTACGAACACATAAATTATATGATTCATCGGAAGATAAACTTGGTATATTCAAAGATGACAGTAATACAGTTGTTAGGAATCTCACAGAAGACTTGAACTTGAAGCTAATGAAAGTTTAAGGGAGATGGAGATCCATATTTCTTTCCCGGAAACACAAGAGAAATATGAATTCAGTTACTCTAGAATAACATTACCGACTATTCAGCTATAGGCAATATCACTTAGTCTTAAACTTTGTATTACATCAACTAATGTTAATGAAACGAATGTCAAAATCTAATTTGAAAGTTTCATTCATAAGATAAATGACCTTACCCCTGTATCTAATATGGATTATGAACAATTCAAAACAACTCTTGTAGAATGTTATAACCGAGTTCTATTTAAGTACTTTCCAAGATTAATATACATCCTTCCTATAACTGAGTGATATGTGTGATGTAAATAACATGATCATAATCTGCATTCGATCGACAGAATAATCAATGAAATCACGTGAATGACAAATCTTACCTGTGCATAGAACAACGTGGAGAGAAGGTTAGTCAACACAAGGTTGATTACTTTTGCTTAGACAATTCCCAGATAATTTAAGTAACTTGTGTCAGTGAATGGAAATAAACAAATTCAACGGAGAAAACTTTATTTCGACAAAATCATTCACCTAAGCTTTACATTAGTATTTATAATTGTTTGGTAAATATATGAGTCTATAAAAAGCTAGAAGTGATAGTATCATAAAGTGGACTGAGATTTTAAATATCAAAAGAGGTTTAGGTTGTGATCGAGAGTTGAAAGAAGAACAGGTTGATAAGAATGGTTTATGGTCCAGAAATATGAGGGAAAACTGTCCACTTAACAGATATGAAGAATATTTTAATCACCGAAAGATTTTTATCATATCACAAATATTTTTTAATAAATTCTCTCTTGGTTTTAAATTATATATCCGAATTAATGATCGAAAAAGTGACCAGGTTCAGGGCAAATACATCATTTAAAATCACAGCATTTGAATTCAGGATTGTTTGTAAAATAAAATGAAATTGTTAATGCTTAAATGACTAATATGCAAATCAATATTGGATATATTTTTGTTTTATTACGATGAGAATCTTCCAGCGGTTAAAATGTTCCTCATATCTGTTAATTGGATAATCATTTCTCATAGTTCTAACCAAATTTTATTAGAATTACAACTAGGTGAAAAAATAAGTGATGATTAATTTCATGATCAGAATTGGGTTTGTGGAGATTGATGTGATCTTAATAGTTGAATTCATGAGTCGATGTAAGCTAGACCACCATTGAAAACCTGGATACACTGGACGGGCACTTCGTCCTATTTCAAGTCCCGCATGCGGGATCGTGGATGCGCACTGCTGAGCAGTCCCAGACTAGGAAGAAATGGTCGTCCAGTGTTTCCAGATTACTTTTATATCTATTGGCAATTAATCTAACTTTTTGTACTTATTGTGCTCTTTTAATAAAATAATCATTCAGATCAGTTGCCATAAAAAGCTTATTACAATCAACTGGTATTAAATAGACTAATTTTGTAATTCTGTCCTCTAAACAATTTCTTCTATCTTTGAGAAATTGTAACCGAAAAAAATATATATATATATCCTTAGATAGATATATTCTTGAACTAAGCAGTCAGAAAACATTTCGTCTGTATTGATCAAGTTTTCGTTAGTTATTTGGTCTTTCCCCTAAGTGCGTGGTAACTTAGTGATGTCATTGTTAATTTTGTAATCCTATATTGTCGATAATAGAAAAGGAGATCGCATTCTTAACTGAAGTATTTGACAGTCGAAAATCAAAGTTTAACTGTGGTAAAATTATTATATTACGGAGTAAGTTGACTGCCCAGTGGGATGATACTTAATAGATTATTCTAGAAGAGTTATAAAAAGATTTTACTTTAGTTTTTATATAAAGCTGCTTAGTATGAGGAAGTTAATTTGTCAATCTGGGATGATTACTGAAAACCCCACAACCTATATTCATTACTTCATTTCCAAATGTCTAACATCACGTGTATTGCTTGGTCGTAAGTAATTAAGCTCTTTGAATCACTGCACATCAAAATCGCCATTATAGGCAAACTCTGGTTTCCTATACATTAATCCTTTGGTAGTATGGGTATATATGATAGTCGTCAGTATAATACTGTACCTTACGCTGAGCCCAAGTTATGGTTAAAATAATTGCCATCGCAATACACCGACGTAACAAAGTGTGAGATATTCACAGACCATCGTATTTAATAAGTTAATCAAATAATATTTTAATAGAAATCAGAGATCTTCAATATAAAGTTACATTTAATAAAATGTTAAGTGATTGATCTTTTCTTTAACGTAATGACTTGGCAGATACATTGAATGTAGGGAAACAGTCTATACATACCTTCGAAGAAGAACATATCCCATATACGGAGGACTGTAGACCATGGCAAATTGCGTGTATACAAACACATGAACCAGTCAATAGCAAAATATATCGGCTCTGTATTACATTTCACCTATGTTCAAGAAATAAATAAAACCATTGAGACAATTCATATATAATATCTTTTAAGATAACAATAAGTTCATTCAATAAAGGTACGATTTTTCTGAATGTTCTTTTTTATCCTATTCAAGTCTATTATAATGAAATAGTCGTGCTTCATTTTCTTATGCTTGGTAGGCTTGTAGTTGCTTAGCTTCGTTAATTAATCACCTTGATAATCGTTATTATATAACTCCCAACGGTGTTTGAAATCAGAAGGCAATAAGAAGCAACGACTGCAGTTTATTAGCGGACAGCACAGATAACAAAGTTACAATCACGTCGAGTGAATTTGGAGCAGATAGGCTAATGTGTGTGAGCGAGCGAATACAGGGGCGAATTTATAGTCAAATCGAATGTGGCGCAGCTAGGCAAGGTAAAGACTAAGTGAGGCAAGGCAATTAATAGGATTTGAGCACATATGAACATAAGAAAGAGAATGATTCATCGAGCGATATTTAAGCGACTAACATTTAAGCTAAAAAGAGATATGTGAATAGGCTGTCACATGTGATCAAGCGTACACATTTATACAGACGAGATAGTGATCACAATAGTACAAAGAAATAGACGAATCGTTAATGTCCAAGTAACATCGTCTGTTAAATAAGTTAATAAAAAGGGCTTAACAAAATTAACCATAGTTGAAATCGATTGTAGGACTGTTGCTATAGCGTTAATTTGAATCAAATTTGTTTTAATTTTACCAGAAATTTGAATTATTTTAAATATGTATGAAAATTGGTGTAACATCCATCTAACATTTCACCTTTTAGAAGTTTAGGTGAACAGGTATTTATTTACACTAACAACTAATACATTTGGCATTAAAAACAAACAACTCAGTGTTATTGTGTTAATGTTTTGCTCATTTATTTTTCTGATAAATTTCTAATTTCAATAGTTGACATCATGAGTTAATTGAAGCTAAACCACAATGGAAAACCTGGAAGCACTGAAAGGTCATTTTGTCCTATTGTGGGACTTCTCGGAAGTGCGCATCCATAACTCTGCCTCGCGGGATACGAACCCAGGACTTATCAATCTCGCGCGTGAGCGCTTAACCACTAGACCACTGAGTTGGCATCGAACGATGTCAATGTCTAACTTCAACTAATCCAGGTTTTCCATGGTGGTCTAGTTTCAAATGGCTCATGATCTCAACTAATGAAATTACTACAATTTCCAACCCACCGCCTCAAATTTCTAATTGTCATTAAAAATAACAGTTAAGAGAGTAATTCAACAATTAAGGAAATTAATATAATCTTTATCTACTTATTACACTATCGAGATATTGAGGAAGATTATTTCAATATATAGATGACTAAAGAAGCAATAATTAGAATGTTCAAATTTCTTATTAAATAGTTGGATAATAAAAATAGCTGTCGATGATTAATCAAACAAAATATGATTTGAAACAGCAAGAAGAGGTCTATTGTATATCACTCCACTTTATTGAATTAATTATTAGGAAAATCTAAACTGCATTAAAATTCAAGATAATCATAGTGGTTGAATAAGATTTTTCTATCTATAAAATATCAGCAAAATGCGAAAGATCCTAATGGATTCAGATGTATGAAAGTTATATAGTAAATTAAATGACACACAATCATTGAGTCTGAATGCTTTATTTTGATCAGTTGGATTTTTAATGTTCACCAATGGAACAGTCATACATCTTTATATTGAACCTAATGAGTCTTTACCTAAGAGTGATGGTTAGTGCTCAGATATATGATGGAAAACTAGTGTAATAGTGCATAAAGCGCAATTACTGTATGGAGATACAAAGTCAAGCTAAGGAAATTTGTCTTGATGAGACTATAGTTTAAAGACGACCTTTGAGCGACGCTAAAGTGACCTTGAGAGTATTCATTTAATAACTAGGACCAAATGAGGGTTATAAACCTGTGTGAGGAATTGAAATTCTGATTTACAGATGGTGATTAAGGTTAGAAATTAGATTCAGAATTTTCATCACGGACTGACATTAGCTATAATGCCAAAACTCTATTTACTCGAATGAGTGAATTTCGTGCCAAAATCCGAGACCTGTTAATTTATACCTGATTGGTTCGTCCGTAAATTATAGTCTCGCCTTTGTCTGTATTCACACCAAAATAAGTGGAAATCATTGTGTGAAATAAATGTTTTTTCTTACGTACTGTTTCATTACGCAGCTGCTGATGCTACCTCCAAATTTAAGTTCCTTCAAAAATATTGTCATTCGACGTCTTAAAATCGTTTACATAATTGATTACAAATTTTGTTCGATATAAATTCCTGAAAATGAATATATGTACTGTGTTTCGCTCGTCTTCAGTATTAATTTCAGGAAACAGATCTAACTCTATGAGCTAACTGTACAGAACTATCTATGTAACCAACTTAGATTTTTTTAAGTAATTGAATGTAAGATTGAAGACATTTTAGTGTGATCAAAAACATGATGAAAGTATAATATTCCAGAGGTCTAGTAAAAGTGTCGGGACATTCCTAGTAACTATACAAATCTGTGTGTAATAGAAAGATATTCAAATGATTTCTTTTCAGGTTCAATAAGTTTGTTTGTATATGATGAAGAAGAAAATCTTATAAATCTTAAACAAATACCTGATAATATAATATAATAATATAATATTTTATATATATATATATATATATATATATATATATATATATATATATATATATAATATAATATAATATATATAATCTATATAGTAATCTATATAGTAACCATCCATAAAATGCCAAACGATGGAAGTGTTGTCTCTAAGAGCATGCCTGCGAAAAAGTTGAATAAAAATGGATAAAGCAGACAGCCCTGACGAACGCCACTTAAAGTAACCACTTCTAGTGATAGTTCGCCATATGCCCTAACTCGACCAGTAATGTTCTAATAGACAGTCTGCACAAGGCTAATGTACTTCTTTGATACTCCTTTCAATGACAGACACCGATCCAAAATTTCGAGATCAACGGAAATGAACGTCTCCTTATGGTCAGGAAATACAACTATAATCGAATGTTGAGAAGTATGTCTATGTTCCACAGTCTGCGAAAAGGTGAATATTTGGTCTATACATCCACGTTTACGTTTGAAACCAGCCTGATTTTCTCGGATTTCAGGCTGATTTATAGTCCTAGTGAAAATGAACTTCCTAACAAATGATGATTGTCAGTGATTGACTGTTTTGGGCATAAATATCCTGCTAGTTAAATGGTATAGGCAAACAAACTTTCAGAGTTGAGGCTTTTGTTTCAGCTGTTTCGGGAAAATAAACTTGTAACTCATTGCTTAATGAAGCCTATCAACAAAAAGTACTTTTGTTTGCTATTCATATGAAACAATAATTACCATGTACATTATTGCAAACTTTGCACTAACTTTAATACGGTACCTTGACGATTGTTTACAGTCTTTTCCCATTTTCAAAATTTAATTCATTTGCTGCTAGTAGAGTAGGTTTTGGACGGGTCTGGGAATTTCCGTATCACCAACATTAATATTAAAACCTACTGTACTTCACTATTCAAAAGAAGTTATGTGCAAGTAAGAACAGTAAAAGTCCTCAAGTGTTATAACTAAGTAGGTTAAAGATAGCTAATATATTCCTGTTCTTGCAAAATCAACAAAGTGATTTTATTGGATTTATTTTATGTAATGGGTCATGAAATACGTTATTTATCACCACATTTCAAACATTTTCTTACCAAAGTCAAGAAAATGAATTACACTGATACACTGAAAAAACATACCATGTGATGGTATATATCTGGTTGATATTTCTTCACCAATTCAAATAACATGTTCAATTCAATTTTGACACGTACCTTAAATTAAATCAGAAGTTAACAGTTATCACTATAGCTAAAGTGGAAACAATCAAGCACTTTGAAATAAAAGTAATGATAGAAAAAAACGGAAGCTCAAATTATGTGTCTGTTTCCGTTAAGAATTTAAGCGTAATATTTCTGAATTGAAACTGATCCCGACAGTTTAGGAATAATTACCACTGACAGATAAAGAACGGATAGCTACGCTATGAGTCAACAGTGGTAGGAAGTTATTAACAAGGATTTGTCCTGAAAGCTTAAAGGTTTTTGTTTGGTCCTTAAATAACGAAGTTTTTACAGTTATACATTTCTAGGGCAAATAGAACCATTTGTTAGAAGGGTTGCTCAGTCAACATTAACTTTCCAAAACCATTTTCAAACTGATTGTAGATTGGTAAAATTACCAGACGATAATTGTTGGATTTTTGAAATAAACACTAATTAGACATGTTGGGCATGAGATGAAGTCTAATTTAAGTAGTAAAAATAGTAAGTTACTTAAACACAAAAAGTAGCGAACTATACCACATAGTAAAATCTTAAAAAAGTAAAACTGTTTATCTAGAGCAAAGTAAATATTTTATTTCTAAAAATGAAATTGACAACAAAACGTGACAGTGGTTTGACATCAAAATATTGTTGTCTCATTTTTATGCATTATGTGCTTCAAAGAATAAACAGGAATATAAATAGTGTACTTTTACATTTACTGCAACTCATGTTCTATAATCTGCATCCCATAATCATGTCACATTCCACTACGTCTTTCCTTTTTTACATGAACGTGAATAGTCAATGTAGAAAAAAGGATCGGAAAATGACTGTCTATTTGCTTTTAAGAATGCTCAATAAAAAGTCTATATATGAAAGGGAATAAAGCATTCCCAGTGTAGTTACCGGACAGTAGATTATAATACTTAATTTTACGTGTATTTAACTTACCATTTTATTATAATCACCTAACCTCCTTTTTAATGCATTTAGATTATCTTCATACTTTACCGAATGAAAAAAAGCCATGAAATAAAATAAACTATTGATATATTAATGTGTGGTTTAAAACAGATCTACCAGTGGGATTAAAAGCAAGAAATTCTTTAGTATGTTCTATGTTTGGTGTATGTGAAAACAGTGAGGCAAAAGAATTGTATTCATTTCCAATGATTGTTGGTATTTATCTGGAATCCTTAGTAAAATACTATCACATATGAAAATAGAAAAATTTTCATTTAATAGTGAAACAACAGGTATTACCAATTTATTTAATTAGGTCGCTTGGTCTTGTTAAGTGAATAAATGACCAATCTCTAACAGAAATATAGTCATATTAGGCAAGATAACTGACTTACAAGATCTGATTTAAAATAATCGGTCATATATCGGTTGCATAAACAGACAAAGGTCCAAAATGCATCCTCTTCTGGCATATGTATAAGTAACGCTGCAGCAATCGGTGCTTGAGCTTGGCAATAGCCAGTAGCAGGATGTAGCAGTGAATATGCTTTGAGTACGTTGAACAGAGATGCTTTTCTAATAAGTGAATAAAAATTGAGAGAAACAACGGTGTTGAAGATTTTTCAAAACGGTTAAGCCAAAGCATCGAAATAGATAGTTTATACTAAATCTTAAATTCTTCATTATTCTGTGTACGTTTACTTTTTTCACTCATGTTAATATTTACACTGTTTTGCCGACTATTTTTCACCCGTTTTGAAACATGGTGATTTCAATTGATATAATTTTGCACGGTGTTACTTATTATTGCTCAAGTCTAATAAATTCTCAGAGCGAAACCAGGCTATATTAGTTCCATTTTGTAGTTTGTCATTTGTTCCAGGTTTGATAGACTTGTAGGCTTCAACAAGTAGCCGGTTTTTAAAACTATTCCTTTGTACCGCAGAGAAACTTAATAATGAGTATATCGTATGTCCAGACAGAACTTGTGTCTTTGACTGATGTATTTTCTCACATGTAATCCATAAACTGCACTGTCTAGTGAATACAAGAGCTGAGGTCGTCATAAAGTTTCTTTATAAATTGTGGCATATATCAACTGCATTCCCTTGAAGATGTCCCTCACTTGTGGCAAAACTCTTGCCCCATCTCCATTTTCAATGTTCAAAGCTTAATTCGAAGCTATTCAAATTCTGGCTTTTCAGTTATCTTTAAATTTTAAATTTTGGTAAAGTCGGGTGCAGGGGCGATTTTCCTAAATACAGTTTATCAACAATTATTCGGCAGTCACGAAACACATACAACAGCATCCATCTTATCTTTTCATCACTACAGAAAACTGATGAATATTCTTGCGTTGCATCATTTTCGTAGTATTCAGAGCCCTAAGTAAAACTCTTGGGCCCCCCAAGAAAGAGCTGTTTTTTTAATTTTTCTCCTTATACACCCTTCAAAATTTCATCAGTCATGTCAAGGTTTTCCTTAGGTTACACCGAGACGTTTAGTAGCTTAACATACGTAGCACTAGCAGCTTAGGAAAATATAGACTTTCTAACTAATTGCCTTACTGGCTAGACTTAAAATTTCACCAGCGCTATTATCAGAGGAAAATTCAAGTTATAATACTGGAAAAAATTAATTTTCTTTTCTGCTTTTTGCTCAATCAAACTATTTCTACTGTTATACTTTGAGGAGCGTCAGGCATAGTATGATCTATTGAGTTGGCAATTCAGTTCGACATTAAATATATATAATTTTTAATAATATGCTTTGATTTACGTGAGTGAAATATGTTTATTCAAGGAGGGCTAGTGTGTTGACTACTGGTAATTAATGACAAACTTGACTTACCCATTACCATGGCTTGTAGCAAAAAGTACGTGATTAGGCAACTGTCTGTCGACATCTAATTTGATTTGTGAAATTGTCTTTGGATCACCCGACATTCTCAAAAGTACCTGTGTACGGTTTAAATAAGAAAATTAGTAGTCGAGAAAAATAAGTCACAGAAAGACTGTTTTTGTCACAAATGTACCAAGGTATTCATATTAAATTAGCTACGTTTTGCAATTGAAAGAGCTGTTATTTTGGAAAAAATTCAGCATGTCTGACAAAGTTCAACCACGTTAGGAGTGACATGAATATCACCGAATGAACTAAACTGTACTCAATCGAGAATCGGTTGACGTTGAGAGTATAAACTAATGAATGCCAAGTTGGTGAATCCAAAGTCTCGTAGTATCTGTTGGACCCGAATATCCATGACATGATTTCTGATTAATTGGTTTAGAAGTCTCAAGCCACGATGAAATATCTTTTACGTGTTCTTGAATTTCCAATGGCTCTTGATCTAAAGTAAGTCTGCAATCAAAAATGTTTTCAAAATGTAATGTCTCTACAGGTTTCCTACTTTAAAAACTATTGTTTGTCAAGATTTTCTCTTAAACTGGTTACATTATGTTAGAAGAGGTTGTGAGGATTGAAGTATGCCTATTTTGTTTCCTCATTAGGGATGTTAATAAAACTGAAATGAGATGGAAAAGACGAACAGCATTTAACGGTGACAGAAAATAGTTTAGCAATAACAGCGGGAGTTTTGTTCCAACTGCGCTTAAAACTTGGGTTCTGTTCCATTTTTGTTGACGTTGTGGATACATCAATCAAGTCCTCATGCTTCAATAAGTGCTTGGACACCACCACATCTGCCGGTGAAGATCGCTGGGCTAATCAACGGCTAAGTCATCTTGGGCCCGTTAGATTGAACTACTCTGCGGTCCTATGTTAAAGAAACGTTTGCCTACACCCTATATAAAAATATCATAATCAGGATGGAGAAAATGTTAAAGTATGCTTTCTGGTTTATTTACAAAGCGTAAGGTACTACTCCTAGATTCACTAGCGCTCTGTAGGAAGCCGTTGAAAATGGTTAAAATATGTTTATACCTGAGTAGATTTCCAATTACCCAAGTTGAAGTAAAGGAGTTAATAAATCTGTAAACAGTAAAATCAAGAGCAGATTGTTCTAGTCTCGGACATATATAGCACCATAGTCATGTTATTTTAGCTGTAAACGTCAAGATATGCTTAGTGTTCATGAGATTACTTCTGCTCTATGGTTGTGAAAATTGGCCCATTTGGGATGGAAATGTCAGATCACCGCCTTCTTCGAATGATCGCTTACCTTTCAATGACAGCATTCTCACCAAGCTATGTTTTTTGCCTCTGAGACTAGGTCGAAAATACAGGTATCCATTTTTAAACATAGTACAGTGATGAAGAAGATATCACAAAGGACTAGTATCTATTATTCCATTAGAACCCGCTGGTTGAGATCCTATATATTGTCTAATTCAGTGGTTTGGGATGTTATCTGATAGTGTCTGGAAGTCAGAGGCAGTCCTGTTGAGGTTTTCAGCAGGATTTTCCGTAAAATCAAAAGGAACTGTATCTTTTAAGAAAAACCATTTTTATTCATTCACAGCCTACTACAATGAAATCTCTTTTTTCATGTTATTGTAATTTTTTATTTGATGGCGCATGTTTTTCTCACTACTTGTTGAGAATGTCTATTCGTTATTAATTAAAGATGAAATAAGATAAAACTGGGGAGTAATAAATCACGTAACACAATTATATGGAACTGGCGTGGTGGAGAAATACTCGTAAGAGTCAAATATCTTAAGTATTGAGAGACGGAAACGGATTCAGTGAACCAAATGTTCTATCTAATAAAATGAACATAATGATACTGTTAGAAGAAGCGATATGACAAAATTAAGAAGCAAAATCACATTCCTTTACTGGATGTGGTTTTTAGTTCAACATTATCTGTTTTAATTCTACGTAGAAATTACTCATTGTAGTACTTGTTTTGTCTTCTAGTGTGATATTTTATTCGCTACAATATTAATTTATTTGAGTGTGATTTCCACTTAAGATACGATATTCTTGTATTAAATTAAAACGAACTATGATCAGCATGACGCTCAGCATATGATTTGTTATAGTTTTAGGTATTTCCCAAATATCTGATTTCATCCTAATTGATAATGAAAATGGGTGTGTAATCAATATGTGATGAGTGCATTTTCGACTAGGATCGTCGTGTTTAGTGGTTAACAAATCTGTATTTTTAAGTCTTGGTGTTCTTAATTTGTGTTGTGAGATTTGCAGTGGTTGCTCGTTTTATAAGTATGAATAATAAGCGATTCCGACATAACAATCTGCAACGCAGTCATAACAATAAGTATTAGGGCTTTGGTATGAATAGCTAGCAATAATCTTATGTTATAAGTCCTAATGAGAAAATAATATTGATGTTTTTCTCATGGTTATCAACTTCTTACCATTTATATTTGAAGAGTAGTTGTTCTACTAATTGTATTTTAAAGGAAACAAATAGCATGTATCATATTGTGGTGCGTGCTACTTATACTGATGTAAGTAGTATATTATGCGAGTCAGGAATGTAATGTCTAGCAGCAGAAAATGGTAAAAGATCAAGAAAGCAAGAGTGGGAATAGAATGCAATTTGTATGAAAATGTAAAAACAATGAAGTCTGAGGCATTTTGAGACAAGTGGTGGACATTTTGCAAATTAACGATTTAATATATAGTTCTCAGTTTTTATTAAGATGCTCTGTAATTTTGTGCGGCATAGAATCTCAATTCCTTTAGAGGTGATTATTTAGATTATTATTATTATTATTTGAACATATAAATATTGGTACGAGAATGCGCCAAATATATATGCGCCACACAAAACAATGAGAATTTAAGGGGAAGGAGAAAAAAAGAGATTGATGTAAGATGGTGTAATAATAATGATGGTAAAAATGGCGGAACTGACAGGTACAATCAGAAGAAATCTTTCAGTTAAGGGAGACACAACCACTTTTTATGAAGAAAGTAAAAGGTTACAGCAGGATCGCCACTGGTTTCTATTCTGAGCCATATTTGCTAACGTCTCTAGCCACCGTGTCACACCATCTCTCGGACCCCAACCAGGGAGTCGTGAAGGACCAACACAAGCCAGTCCTTTGCAGCTTTCTTTCATACCACAACACCATGTCATATACTGACCACCTCTCCGCTTCTTCCAACCAGTCCCAGAGTCGGCAAATAATGCACGACGTGGAATTCTCTGGGACGACATTCAGAGAACATGTCCAAGCCACCGAAGTCGGTGTTTCAAGATGGTGACATCGATTGCATTGTCATCTATGTGCCGAACCTCTGCATTACTAACATGGTGTTGCCACTGGATGTCAGCAATCCTTTGGAGACAACGATGATCGAACACAGAAAGTCGTCTAACGTCCTCAACTCGGAGAGGCTAGGTTTCACAAGCATAGAGCAAAACTGCTCTCACCGACGCGTTGTGGATCCGACCTTTTACAGCCAGACTAACATCACGAAGGCGCCAAAGGTGGCCCAGATTGGCATAAGCCGCTCTGGCTTTCACTATTCGTGCATTGATCTCATCACTCACACCCCCACCAGCACTCATACAGCTACCCAGATACACGAACTTCTCGACTACCTTTATCTGATCACCATACAGAGTGAGTACAGGGTTAGAATCCTGCCAGTCTTGTAGAAGTACTTTGCACTTCGAAGGTGCAAAGCACATACCATACCTACGGACACTGGTTGCCAACTGATTAAGTGCGGATTGCATGCCTTGGGCATTATCGCACAGTAAGACAATATCGTCCGCATACTCAAGGTCGAGAAGTCTTTCTCCAGGCAACAGATCCACACCGCCATTACTTACATCCATCAAGGCTGTTTCGACGGCAAAGTTGAAGAGGAATTGTGAGATTGGGCAACCCTGCCTAACCCCACTGCTCGAATGGAACAATGGACAGAGGTGGTTGTATGACCTCACTCTCCCTGAGGTGTTTGTATATAGGGCTTTTAGGATGTTAATAAACTTCTCAGGCACACCCTTCTTCAATAGACAATCCCAGAGAACAGTCCTGTCCAACGAATCGAAGGCAGCCCTGATGTCAAGAAACACAACGATTGTTGGCCTTTGAAAAGTATGGCGGTGTTCTAACATTTGGCGGAGGGTGAAGATATGATCAATACATCCTCGACCAGAACGAAACCCAGCCTGCTCCTCGCGAGTCAATCTTTTTCGGGTTTTGAACAATCTACGAAGTATGACGGAAGCCAATAGCTTGGACGCAATCGGAAGTAGACTTATCCCCCGATAGTTGTTACAGGAACGACGTGAACCCTTTTTAAAGATAGGGACAACTATCAACTCATTCCATGACGTTGGTACACTCTCTAGTTCCCAAACCTTTGTAAACAACGTCGTCAGTCCCTTAGTCAGAAAGTCACCACCATCTTTAAAAATAGCCGGAGGTAAGTCATCTGGGCCAGGTGATTTGTAGCGCTTCAGGAGTTGGAGTTCCTTGCGGACTTCCTCCTCATTTGGTGGATCAGTCGTCACCGGCCGATGTTGCCGGAGCAGCAAGCTAGTTGAACTGCCCTTCGAAAAATTCTGCCCACCGTCCAAGACGTCGATGAATGTTAGTGATTGGCATCCCATCATCCTCACAGATTGTTTCGCTCACACCAGACCTCTTGCTGCCAGTGGCTCGGATGAGTTGGAAGAGCTTCCGGTAATTACTATATGCAGCTGCTGCTTCCAGCTCATTAGCACGCTCCGACCACCAGGCTTCTCGGTCCTTACGCAAGCTTTGCCCGATTTCCTTACGTAACAACCTTCGTTTGTGGTCAAACTCACGGTCACCCGGAGTAGACTAACGGGCTTTGATGAGGTGTAAGAAGCCTGAAGAAACTCAGTGCTTGTAAGCGGGACGTTTCGCGAACCCATAACTGACTTTACTCGCCATTTCCATGGCGTCATGCAATTGCAACCAATGCTCATCTATACTTGTCGGTGGAATGGTAGCTAGCCTAGAGGCTAGCTCGATTCGATACTTACTTACAACAGAAGTTGCAACCAACGTGCTGACATCAACCCTTCGGTGCCGAAAGTTAGCGCTAGCCAGAAACAGGTTGTGGTCTGTGCATACTTGCAGTAGACGGTCCCCGTCCCCGTTATCTGTCCTGCGACCAACAAGTCCCCATCGGCCACCTAAACGACTCTCTTCTGTGCCTAGACGCCCGACCTGAGCATTCAAGTCTCCGGCTAGTACTACAATATCTGTCGAACGCACTTTCTGGAGAAGAACAGATAACTAGTGGCAAAACTCATCCTTGATTGCATCCGGGCTGCAATCTGTCGGAGCATAGGCGGAGATGACGAAAAGACATCGTTTCTCACTCCGATTTCTTCCCACTTTGATGGAACTTTCTAATCTAACAGCACACAACCGACTGTTAATGGGGATCCAGTCGATTAGTGCTGCCTCAGCTCTAGCGCTTAGTGCGACACCAACGCCAGCAAGACCAGACGAAGATGCCACAGGGTCCCCGGATAAGCGCACGTAAAACAAGCTTTTCGATGCGACAGATGGAGGTCGAATTTGTAGTACTTCGCCAGAGTCTTGAATACGGGTCTCGGATAGACAACAAACATCAATATTAAGACTTTCCAAAGACGTAGCCAGCCCTCTCTGTTGTCCGACCTGCATAAATGTGCGAACGTTGAAGGCAGCCAGTTTGAATGGTGCACGTGGTTTCAGAAAAACTGCTTCAGTACTCATATTCGGTGGTGACATACAATTTTCAACCGGACAGTGACTCGAGAACGTTTAGATAGAGTCGAATTTCCACCAAAGACGAGCTGCTGTATAAACTGAAAAAATAAGTATAGACGGAGTAGGAGTAAATGGGGGTGAATAATGATGTAGTAAATAATAATAATAATAATAATAATAATAATAATAATAATAATAATAATAATAATAATAATTTGGATCATTTGACTGTTATTCGGAGCAAGAAGTATAGTTTCCATAGATATAAAGAGTTCATCATTTGCGTGTGGGCTGTGACACTGCCCGGGTGCCCAGACCGAAGCAGGTGCTTATCTTAGGGGGCCACACCCCGAGCCTTTGATCTAAAGGTCTAACCCACAAGGCAGTGGAGCATCGTAAGGAGATGCATTCCCATGGTAGCCGGTGACCGAAAATTGGTTCATACTCCATTCGTTCCCGCAAGATACTGGAGCCCATGTGCACCATTGATTTGGGATCCGGTTAAAGCGCTGGACATTCGCTTTTCGTCCTCTGATTTTCGTAAACAACACCCCCGCCACGATAAGGCAATGAGTAGGACTTTCCTGGCAGAGGCTATATACGCGTGGCCATGTGAGAGCATTTCGAGAGGGAGAGCGGACTTTCCTCACTCTCGGCCGTACCAGGGTATTTGGGGGCTAATTCCTTAGACGGTTATTTAGAAGCTATTTTAAAGGGTTGAAATTTATATCTGTTTCACGTTTTAAACAATTTATCTTTATAGCACCAGATCAACAAGTAAACACATTATTAAATAGATATGATCCACACAGAGATAATGAATTCAAGGACCAGCATAGCTTATGATTTTTACCAGTGATATTCAAGATAGATTTCAATTTATGCAAGTCAAAACTGCAACAGGAGACGACTATGGCTTTCCTTTTGCAAACTTAATTACTAAAACATTGAAGACTTTACCTACATCATGAATCTATAATCTAATTATCTAGATAAGCTCATAGGGCAAATAAACTCAAAACACTTCAGTCTCTGATAATCATATCATGATGATTATTATGTTTGTCTACCCCTGTACATCTTTATTGTCAGGGGCGCTGAATATTAAAAACATAAATGTGAACCGCGAGTTATCTTATTGGGTATTCTTACCATTAACAATACCTCGGCAAACCAAAAATTTACTTCATAAGTCTTTTATATTATATTCAAGTGAATTTTTTTTCTGGAGATTGAGAGTCTGCATATTTGGTGTATATGTTTAAACCTTACCTGATATTTCCCACGTTCCATCTGCATTATTCTATGGCTTCCACAGAGATACTGCCACACTCTTGAACGTATAGCCGGTGCAATACCTTTTCGACATTGATTTCTCACCCGATCTGTTTTATAATACATCCATTTATCCCATTCAGTCAGCATATTTTGCCATTTCAATTCTTTTCGGCGTATTTTATTCAAAGAGGATTCAGAAAGTTTCCTGTGTATTTTGGTTTAACCTGATGATCCACCTTACCGCGTGTTTGTTTCGCAGAATTGTTCACCTTCGAAGAATCCATAACGATCAACAGCACCGTTTACCATCAGGATGTTGGCTGGTTCGTTGAAAACTTCTATATATTTAATGAAAAGTTATGCTTGATATAAAAAACTAACCGGAAGCCATGTCATTTCAAACTGTTGTGACTAGGCAGTCTAGAAGTACATTATCACAACAAATTGCATAACAACACAGAAATTCGATTTCTATGCCTTTTGGTTTGTATCGACTGCAAAGAATTCAGGAATATTCAGTATAAAAAGTCGTTAGTCAATAAAAGATATCTTGAAGATTGGATCAAAAATCACCTGAAGACAGAGATGAGTATAACAAGCAGTCTTAATTGCTTAATGGCAAAAAAACCCATCTAAAAACAGATAAATATGTATATATATATATAAAGCCTGAAACTCACTTTTTGGTGGCGTTTGGTTCTCTGAGCTGTACGGTTTGGTCGTGGAGTTTTTATCGTTCTTCTGAACGACAACATCAGCACAAAATTCAGGTAAAAGTGGTGTTTGAGTTTATCCACATATGACTCACAGCTTGTCCTGTAGACCTTGACTATTGTTGACCTTTAACTTGTCATTGTTTAGTTTTTTTTATTTTTATTGTATCACCCGTCGGTTTGACTCTTGGTCCTATATTTGTCTATAATTTTTTGATTGGTTGATAAATTGGACTGAACACTTCACTTCTACTTGAAGTTTGTGCTAATGATATCGTTCAGAAGATTGATGAAGGATCCACAAACAAACCATCCAGTTCAGGTAACAAAACCCTACCAAAACCATCCACCTAAGCTACAAATCTTTTATACCACCTCTGTAACTTGCTTTACTTGTTTAGGAACATAAACTTTTGTCCAAACATCGAAGTAAGTATATAAAGTCTCATTTATTCTGGCTATTAGTCATTACAGTATTGGTAATGATGACAAAGTGTCACGCAGTCAATGGTTAGACCATAATAGAATTCACTTAGAGTGCATGTCTGAGAAGTGGTTACACTAATAGGCAGTCAGTCATACGCAACGTACAACTTGACTAACATGTATATACTTTGAAGCTGCTACTATCAATAGAATCATCCACCCTCAAGGATTTTTGTGGCTTTGCTGTATAAGCGCTCATGACTTTGTACTTATGTCCAAATAAAGAGATGCAATAATGAAAAGTTATATATCCAATAAAAATCTATCATTATAATTTGTCGATATAGGGACAAAAACGACAGCGTTAGATTTTAAGTATCATTATATCAGTGAAGATCTATACTTTCGGGACTTAGGTTCTCACCATAACTCCATTCACCTTCTACGGATGGGAACGCTTGGCTGAGGTAAGTTTTACACTTTAATAATAAATATCGGCTGTTGGCACTAATTTAACATATGATTTAAACTTAATTAATGTGTTTGCGATTGCATGTTAGAAATTTCCTTCACTCATCTTAGTCACAAAGTAAACAGGTAATATTTTAAGAAATCATAAGACTTTCAGTCAGTCTATTTACGTTGACTTCACTTTTGGTTTTAGTTTCACTTTGATTTAAACAAATCGAAGGACTGACGTGAATCTCTTCAGAGGTATCAATCAGCATATTGACTATAACCATTCCCTTTAAGAGTTTTGTAGACACTTTGTTGTAATGCTAAGAGGGTATTGGTTGAAGCGTTTGATCCTGCTTCAGAAGTAAGCTGATTCACTGTAGTATTCACCATTAAAATTCACTTTTAAAATGAAACAAAATGTTGTTCAGTTTGAAGAGATGTGTCAAAATGTTTCACATAAGGTGGTTAAAATTAATTGTTAAATTATATTTCAAATAATACAGTAAAAGGAGAGAAGAATCAACTATTATTTAACAGGCGATCTGATAAAGGGCTTGAGATTTGTAACCATGAAACATGATGAATCTCTTTTCATGGGTCTAGTGAACAACAGATATTACCTATATATCTTCCCTCATATCTCAGAGCTAGTCAAAGTCACTGTATATTGTGAACAACAGAAACTAAGTAACCGAGCTCATTGGGAGTTTTACTATTTCTTTAAATTTTATCACGATTTTCGGTTACAGACTGATGTGATGTCGATGTACATTTGGTAGGTTTGCTTAAATTTATAAGTAAAAATCATTTGATTACTTTTTAAAATACAGTAATTGTAACAGAATCATTCCTTACAAATATGTGATGAAAACAAGGGGAACCTTGTAATAATTAAACTTATTCTTTTACATCATTTTATCAGTTGGCTTTCAAATATATTTGCTTTGGAATTTAGGCAGCAGATTAACTAAAAATATTCATTACCAGAAGGTTTTATTACACATGTAATGACATCCAAGCTTGCATAAAGTAATCTAAGTTGAAAGTTGGGCCGAAAGTTCCAGAACTCCAGGTAAAGCAAGGCTGACTTTTGCCTAACTTTTGCTGACTTTAATGATTCACATCAACCGACTATAGCTCATAGCTCCCGGTATATATTTTGACGGCAGCTTACTGCTGACTTAGAACGTGAACCATTATTGTCAGACCTTGTTCATACTAGTCGCTGCGATATCACGGACATTCAGTTTCCATTCACTCTGCCAAACAAAGGTCACATTGTATTGTTCTTTGGGCTTTAAACACAATATACAACATGCATATACTACACTCCGTCTCATCTGATGAGCCAACATTCCTTCAATCTGAAACTGTGGTATCTCAACAGATTGCATATTAAGAGAACAAAACAAATGATAGAATCCCTCCATTACACCAGCTAAACTAGATAATGCCGAGGCTGAAAGTTCACCAAACTATTTTAATCAGGTGTACTCATATGATGTTGTTATTAACACTTTTCACGGCCAAGCTGTTGAGATTCCGACTATAGGACCAGTACATGTGACTGCAAAATTTGCTTTTCGTTTACGTGTTAGCATTAAACTTGGTAAGTCACTGGGCTCTGGTGGGTTACATACAAGATTGTTGTCATCCGTCGCGGATACTATTTCAGAACCACTCACAGTTTCAGTTCAACATATCTTTTTCCAAAATTCAATTCTCTAGAGATTAGGCAAATGCTATAGTTAAACCTATATTCAAGCATGAAACAAGATAGATCATGTTTATCTACCGACCTATCAGTCTAACTGACATAGTAGTTAAGGTATTTAAGAAAATAACTCGGACTAAGCCACTAAGTCACGTAAAACCATATAATTTATTGGCTACTTGGTAGCACGATTTTTGGAACAGGTACTCGTCCTTAACTAACCTACTAGCTGCGAGGGAGGTTGATCTTTTTGTCTGCCTGATATTTATAGATTAACAAGATATTTAATAGGTCGCCTTAATTAAGGATTATGCAAAACTCTCCAGATTTGGAATAAAAGATGTCACACAAGAGTGGATGAGAAACTTTCCCTGTGGGTAGAGATAAAAAGTGGTGGTAAATGAAACAATGTCTGAATAGAAGTTGGTTAGATATCCCATGTCCTAAGGCACTCTCCAAGACCCTGTGTCTTTTGTTCTGTTTCAATGGTTTATCAGGACTGCTCAATTCATCGACACTGTGTTTAAAGATGATATCAAAATTTAGAAAACAAAAGGTGCTGACGCTGATCAACCTAATTATTCGGTCGCCCGAGATTTGACTCCACATGATAATGATGTCGAGGAAGTGTATATAATTTGTTTACTTAGTAGATATTCTATTGACGTATCCCGTCAATAACAACGTAGATATGTGAAGTCAAATATGAAAGCATTAAAGTGACATATATTACAGACATTTCACAGTGTAGAAGAACGGCAAGAAACGAGAAATGCACATGAACTGGAGTTTCAGAAGCGACCAATTCAGTATGTAATAGGTTACTCGGTCCATGTAAGCCTGAAAGAGATATAAGTACAAGACTCTCGCACTAACGTACACAAGAACATGAACCATGATCAAGGTTATGTGTGGGTACTTGACAAAGACAAAATTATGGGTGATAGAGAAAACCGACACATTCTAAGATGCGTCTAACGTGAGGAAATTATACCGCTTCTGGATAGTCGTCCACCTAGCTACAAAGGAGAGGTTTTCTCAGTTGAGGTTTGTTTGCGACAACGGACATGATGATCAACAATGTTGACAACAATGGCGTGAGTATGTAGTATCAGTTATTATGCCAAGCCCATATACCTTATTCTAGCTTTCGGACATCCCATTTTATTCATTCTACTCGAGTCATATTTTGACCTTGTCAATTATTCGCTTATCAGTCTTGACTGTTTTTATATGAGCGTATATGTGTGTGTCCTTCTTATTCCATTAATCAAATGTCTGTAGCTTAATTTTGTCTGACTATAAATATTGAGTAACGCTTGACTAAAATGGAGTTGGCTTCCCAGCCATCTTCTCATAAACCTTGATGAAGGTCATTCGACTTGGGGGATTTCCCCAAAATATCCCCAAACTTGAGAGATTGAGTTAACAAACACAAAATATGTAGTCCCCACGATGCACACTAATTGTTCAAACAATTCCTCACATTAATAAGATTTAAACTTTATTGTTCGTGAAGAATAATGATTAAAACCTATTTGTCCAGCTTATCTTATAATAAAAGCTGCGGTATTATCGTTGTCATTGCCAGTGACCTTCAATAGTTTCAATATCCAGTTTGTCCTATTGTGACAGCCAGTTATACGGTATTAAGTACTTCTGAACGAACAAATCTGGTCTGGGTATAGAACAATATGTTTAGTATGAAGAGGAATAAGTTACATAGAATTCTCACGCTTGCATGGACGAATCATGCTTGAATGATTAAGTGCTCCAAAGTTCATCATTTCTGAAACCCATGGTGTTAATGTCAAATGTTGTGAATCAGATTATCGTATGTGATGTGATGATCGTAGAAGTAGTCAGTACCAGTCTGAGCGGCATATTTTGCTCATTTTATCTTCGGAGAGATATGTCGTTCAAACAGTCTGGAAAATGACATATCACAGAAGATTATACAAATATGATGTTAAGCAAACATTGAAGGCATCAAGTTAGCTAAATGTTCTGGAAAGGAGTCACATAAAACATCGGTGCTCGGTGGTCGAAGAATGTCGGTGGCAAAAGTCACAAAAAGTCTTGCACATAGAAATTTCCAGTTCCTTTTGTGAGCGGGAGAATACGATGCTGGTATTGTTCAGGAGTTAAATGGTGGATGGAGCATCAATGTTGTTCAATATTAGCACTCTAAACCTATTGATATTGATGGGATGCAGGTGTCTTTTTGTCCTGTTTTATGTCCTTATCAAGTATTTTTAGGAGATATCAACCAAATCGGTTATCTACCTCCCATTCTGAAGATCATCACGTATAGAGATGTTCAGTACTAGAATAATTGTTAATCAGTAATGCAAAGAGGGCTGATCTTAGTACTCGGCCTTGTGACACTTATCATTTAAAACTAACTACATAAGGTAGATGGTAATTTCCTGCTTTTTAATCTTTCCCAAATGAGATATGAAGTGGTAAATAGAGGAAAAATTCACAGAACATATGAAATAACTGTAAATATAATAGTCTGTGTTAAGAAAATAATCATCGAAGTTCCCATTAAATTAGTTCTAGTGCCTCTTCCTGATTGGCTTTCGAGCGGAAGTCGGAAAATATGCTTTTGATACTAGAAATGTAAATAATAGCAAGCAAATGACGAGAAGCCTGAAGTTCACACGAATATGTAGTTACATCCGGTCAGTATAGTTGGAGTAGAAAATATAAAAGTCTTCTGCATTTAGCACGCGGAGGAAAACGGAACTCAGATAGTGGACTCGAGAAGTAACGTATCGCATAATTTTTATACATATAAACAGAACATATTGAAGATATCATCAGAGGAATTACGACCGAGACAGTATTATACCATAAAAGTGAAATTTGTAGTGTTTTTGTCACTAAGCGCACATCTGTTTCTGAGACAATAGCACAAGTTGGAATTTTTGGCTTCTACGTGGTTCCGAGTCCTTAATTCTAATTAACCAATTAGATATGCCTTCATTCAAAAGTCAGTCATGGAATAGAAAATAATGATGGGTTTCTGGGAAGTAGGTACCTAGAAAACAAGAGGAGTTATCTTAACACGGTTGGCATCTTTGAGGCTTGTGCTGTGTCCAAACTCACAAAAAGTGTCATTTTTAATTCAAAGAATCTTACCAGAGACTAAAACTTGATAGATTGATTTTTTCTAGGTTTCGTTTGAAATAATTGTTCACTGCGGTTTACTCCAGTTTACTTGCTGGCGTCTAAAATATTTCACTGACAGATTCTATTTTCGACATATTTCTAGTGTATAGTGAATGTAACGCCTATTTTATCCATTTTGGTTCTTTTCGCATTAGTGTTCAGTTTTCAACTTATCTCGGTTACCGGCCGATCAAAGAATATGGAAGAGGAGTTTAAGGTTGCAAAATTTCAGAGTAAGACGACAAGTAGGAACAAACAATGTCTGAGTGCTAGTAATTATTTTGGAAGTGTTTCATGCTAGCAGAATATGAACTGAAATGAACTTACAATAATTTAGGATATTTTCTGAAATTCTTATTACTGAACAGTTTCTTATATCCCACGCGAGCAGTATCTGGTTCCGTTAAATTTTATTATGTCGTGGTCCTATACATTTCTAGGGCCAAACGAGTGCAACACCACCAATCGTTGTGGAGATCAAAAGAAAACTCATGAAACAGTTATTTATTAGTTAGAAAAACAAAATATGAGGGGTGTAACAAAAGAAAACGAATAAAGCACTGTTTGGACTGCGATATGTCAAATGTCGAATTACAGATGCTATCCGGGGGTCAAATATTTGCAATCTGTGACATGGTCAATATGAGTCAATCGGTTAGACAATAATGGTTATAATAATGCATTTCTGAAAGGGCAGATACACGCCATTTTTACAGGCGCGATCAACAAATTGCCACATATGTTGGCCCACAGTATGCTCCCGAAGTAGGGTCTTCAACTATAATTAATAAGTGTCTAACAGTACATTCGTGCAGATGTCTTGGAGCGTTAAAGATTAGGTTTACGCTTTAGTATCACACTGAGTATAGTCTTCAAAACACCATCCAAAGTGGTATCGCGTCCACGTTATACACAAGATCCAATATCGGCATAATTGTGTTAGAATTCCAGTCGTGCTAAATATTTATGCAATACAACTTCTTAAATTTATAGTTGTTATAAATTAGATTTGTAGAGCGCTTGGTGTAAATCATGACCTTAAGAAGACACGTACATGTCAGAAGTTCCATAGCTGTGCCCTCAGAGCAAGATTCCGAAAAAGGCGAAACAGCGGGGCAACAAGGCACTTGGATATGAACGCTATATATTGCTTAACATTTCGTAGTAGAACAGACAGCCATGTGATAAATTATTAGGTTACATTCATACTAGCTCTTGTTGCCATAGTGAAATGTGATTAGAGGCTCCGGATTAGAGGATGCAGTAATAGAGAACGATGAATTGTGAATTGTAAGTTCAAATGAAGAAACGGAGGTCAGTGTTGGAACAAGGAAGGCTGTTTATTGGAACCGAAAGTGCATATACAGTAAAGTGCCAAGAAAACTAATAACTATATCTTTTGTTGTCTAATTTTGTATTATTCAATGCCAATCACACAGTACTAGTGTCAAAGTCAGGATTAGTAAGTTATAGACCGTCTTGGTAGAATAGCTAATTCAGCATAAAATCGGAAACATGTGTTGGAATAATGAGCGTAGGAGAACAACCTCAATATCACAGATTGACTGACTTGTTCTCAAACATAAAGACCCTAACACAAACAAAGTGTTCTGCACGGGTGGTTTGAAGTCATCACCCTCACCACCAATACTTGCTGGTCAATAACTCCACCCTCCCTCCATTTGTGATGTTATTCTCATTTAAGTTTATTTTTTGGGTATGTATTTCATGCCTCACATTCTGCTCCGTGTTTCACACCCTGTTGAAAAACACTGTTTCTATAAGTACTGTTTTATAAGCTTATCAGACAGTTACAAATTATAGATTGAGGATAAGGCATCGATGCATTGCTTTAACTGACTGTAATATTAAGCATAAGTTTCCAATCAGAGTATAAGCATTAAGAAGGGCATAATGTAGGATAGTTATTGTGGGTGGAAATTTAGATAAGGTAACGAGTGGTGAAACAAAATTAATGGCAAGTCAACATAGTGTACAGGAGAGTGAAAAGCTGACGAATCAGATGTTGGAAGGACCATCGTTGAATGCAGCCTGGTTTAGGTAATCTTCATCGACCATATAGAAAACTCCACATTGTTCTAAGACAACTGAAAAGCTCCTTAAATCCATGGACCATTACTTAATACAGTATTGGTAACTCAAAATTGAATAAATTTTTTCTGGTTGGCGTTTTTTTAGCGAGTTAATTTTCTACGGGATTGGGTCGCTAACCTCATGCTCAACCCTCCCCCTTTATCCGGGCTTATGACCGGCAGTAGCCCCCAGAGGGGTTTCAGGCGGAGTTAGGTAACTCTCAGGTGACACTTAGAAGTTTGCTAAAATGCACAATCAACGCTACTGATATAAGCAACTTCTCAGGAGTCCCTTAAGAAAAAGCATGACATTGTTAGATAATCAAGTCAGTATTTTAGACTAATTCACCAGTATTCCTCTTCTGCTTGTTCAATAAACATAAGTACTAAAGACGCCACAGGTGTTTGGAGTCTGAAAACGCTTTTACACAAAACAACCCTATAATCAAAGTATACCAGTCCAGTCAATTCAGAAGTCAAATGTGAAGAGGTTCGAATCTATAATTAAGAGACTAACGATATCTCAAGAAGCGTTTGTAGTAAGCTGACTAACGGTTGGAGATGTATAACGCGGCGTACCCGCTCGTAATCTGGTGAGGATGCGTGACTGAGCGTTTTCAGATCGATGTGTCCATTAAAGCTAGTAGGGTCAGCAACAGATGTCGAAGATTGATAGAACTATTTATTTTAGGGATTTACTAACCACTAAATTCCTGACCTACAGACAACCATCCACGCGATTTACGAACGGGAAGTTTAGTCTTAATGTCATTTTCATTTATCAAAATTTTTCTGTGTCTTTACTCAACTGAAGGGCCATTTTCGCTCCAAAGAATGTCTTGAATTGAACATATGATAGACTACTTTTCTTTCTGAGTTTTACACAAGCTAATATTTGACTGTGGTTTTGTCTCAGCTTACTATTCAATTTTTCCGTTTTTCACATCAAGGCTAGTTTTAATGTATCCTAAAAAATTTCAACACCCATTTTTATCCATTTCATCCCTTTGTAGTGTGCTATTTTTGTTCTACGGCCGTAGACTTTTCCTAGAATCTTTTAAACAATTCACATCGCCATAGTCATGAAAACCTCGTGCAAGCGAGCTGGATGCCGATTTACTGCAAACTCTGGCATGCGGTATGATAAACGCAAAGGTTAGTTCCACGAAACATGCACAGAGCTTACAGTAACTGCCTATAACAGACCTAGTAAGTCGGATCGTATGTGGGTATGTGGGACAAGGTTCATGAATAATGAGGATTCGGCGAGCGGAATCATCATGCTGGTGACAGGTCTACGAAAAAAGT